TGGTTCGTTGTCACAGTAATGACTGGACCTTGATCTGTTACTGTTCACTAAAGTCCATAATGTATTCAGATTTTCTTTTTTTTTTTTTTTTTTGAGACGGAGTCTTCGCTCTGTCGCCCAGGCTGGAGTGCAGTGGCCAGATCTCAGCTCACTGCAAGCTCTGCCTCCCGGTTTAACGCGCAATTCTCCTGCCTCAGCCTCCCAGGTACCTGGGACTACAGGCACCCGCCCACCTCGCCGGCTAGTTTTTTGTATTTTTTATAGAGAACGGGGTTTCACCCGTGTTAGCCAGGATGGTCTCGATCTCCTGACCTGGCGATTCCGCCCTTACTCGGGCCTCCCAAAGTTCAGATTTTCTTTACTCTCCTATTCTTCACTCTAAGGTCTTTTTTCTGTCCCAGGACCCATCTGCACTACCCATCTTGATTACTTCTCAGGCTTTCCTTGTCTGCAGTGACCTTGACATCTTTGAGGAGTAGTGCTCAGGTGGAATGTAGGGTGCTTGCTGCTCTACTGGTATTTCTTGATGTTTCCTCATAATCAAGCTGGGAAAGATGGTTTTTCTGGAGGAAGACCACAGAGGTGAAGCATCCTCATCACATCATGTCTAGGCTCCATGCTATCCAAATGATTTGTCACTGTTGATGTTGACCTTGATTGGTAGGCTGAAGTGGTGTTTGTCAGGTTTTCCCTGCGCAGTTACTCTTCTCCTGCCTCTCCATATTGTCCTCTTTGGGAGGAAATCGCTTTATGAGTAGAAGCGGGGTTGACCCTAAGGGCTGTGTAGGAGAGGTGACCTCTGGCCTGAGCTGCCTGGGGACAACAGTGCCATTTGTTGAAACTGGGGAGGACTTGGGGAGGAACACAAGGCAGGGGGTGAGTTGAGAGTTCTTGGAGGTGTGGACTGTGCGGTGCTCATCAGACCTGTGGGGGGTGTGTATTCAAGTCAGGGAAGAGATTGCCTGGGGAGGAGGTGGAGGTCAGGTAGGGAGGATCTCCCAGCAGTGGCAAGAGGATCATTGTCTCCTGGAAGCCAGGTGAAGAAAGGTGTGTTATGATAAGAAATATATTTGTTCTTTGACCCGATCCTGGCACCAGCACTGAGGGCTGAAAACCCTGGAAGTTTCCTGAATGATGGGAGTGTCTTTTTTCGTTTATTTGTATTTTGAGACAGGATCTTGCTCTGTCACCCAGGCTGGAGTGCAGAAGCTTGATCATGGCTCACTGCAGCCTCTAAGCGATCCTCCTGCCAGCTGATTTTTTTTACTTTTTGTAGAGACAGGGTCTCTCTGTGTTGCCCAGGCTTAACTCCTGAGCTCAACAGCAATCCACCCACCTTGGCCTCCCAGAGTGCTAGGATTACAGGCGTGAGATTGGGAGTGTCTTCTATTATTCATTATCACAGCACCTGAGTTTATGCCAATGAGGTGACTCTAGGCAAGCCCTTAGATAGATTGAGGCGCTGGCCGTGATGTGATTAGAGGGTGGGAACTTCCTGCCCCTTCCAGGAAGGGAGAGGGTTTGGAGATTTAGTTCAGTCCCCGTGGCCAGTAGGCCAATACTTTACTGTAATCAATCATGAAGCCTTGATGAGAACTTCCGGGTGAGGAGGCTGGTGAGGCTTCCCATTGGTGTTCACCCTGCTCCACAGGACAAAGGATCCTGTGCTCAGGACCTCTCTGGCCTTGGCGTCTTGGCCTCTCTATCTGGTTGTTCCTAGGCACCCTTTATAATAAACTGTGATGGTAAGTAGAGCCCGTTGCTGGCATCTGAGTCATTCTTGTGAATTATCAAAACCAAGGCAGTCATGGGAACCCTCAAATTTGTAGTCAGCTGAAATGTGGGTAGCCTGGGCATATGGAGTGGGGGCAGTCTTGTGGGACTGAGCCCTTACCCTGTGGGCTAACTCCGGGTAGTGTCAGTATGGAATTAAAGTGTTGGACTCCCAGTTGGAGAATTCGTTGATGTTGGAAAAAAGAACAGAAGGGCTCCCAGCAGGGCCTGGCCGCAGATGACATCTGTGCTCATGAGGGACATGGAGCAGTGATCCCCATCGCCCTGGATGGCCTTGACTGGGGGTTCCTTGGAGAGCTGGGGACAGAAGCCATCAGAACAGGTTTTGGGGAGAGCCTAGTAAGGAAGCCAGTGGGACAGCAAGTGTTAGAGAGAAGGTAGGATCACTGTGGGGGGCAGATCAGGGAGCTCTGGGGACCTGCCAGCCTTCCTGCTTGCTGGGCTGAGCCCTTGAGGTGCAGGAACTGGCCAGGGCAGAGGTGGAGGGGCCGAAGGTGCCATGGTGTGGGGAGGATAGTGGAGAATGTGCTGGGCCCCCTTCATGTGGAGAAAGATGAGGGACCAAAGCTGGTCTCAGCTGGAGTGAGAAGGGTCTTGGTGTGTTCACTTGCACTGTACTTTTAAATTTTAACTTAAAATGTAACTTGATGTGTATGAGAACATAGCTAACATTTTTCCCTTAACCCAGCTCCCAATTTACAGACCAGACTGTTACAAGCCCTAAATGTGGCACGTGCTAGGAATTTCCTTCCCCACAGAAGCATGAGGGTTGCCTCCTGTTAAATGAGGTGAAGTGACAAGTGGGTCCGCTGGGAGCAGGATCAGTGCCTGCCCTCCCCATCTTGTCCCTCCTCTCATGGTGGCTCTCGTGGCTGGCTGGAGTGAGCTCCTCCATCTTAAACCTGCACTTTCTGCTCCCTGGCTGAGGACTCATTGCAACCCCACTGCCTAGAGGTTCAAGGCCACTGGGCATCTCAAGGTGCCACCTGCTGGCTCCTGGCACCACCTAGCCTCTGCACAGCCTGGCCTGACACCTCCATCGGCTGGTGCCTCTGGCCCTGCTGCTCCTATTCCTGTCTTGTTCCCAGCATGAAGTTTGACCACAGTGGGCTCTGAATGTCGGTAGTATGAATTAACTCCGACTTTATGCTTGTAGGAACTACAGCAAGTTAGGGAAAGCATCAGAAACATGTTAAAATCCTAGAAATGTGCTGTACACTTATCACTGTTGTTTATACAAGAAATGGCTTACTCTTGGTGTTTGTGGTTCTAGTAATTCTTTTTTTTTTTTTTTGAGTGCAATGGCGTGATCTCAGCTCACTGCAACCTCTGCCTCCCGGGTTCAGGTGATTATCCTGCCTCAGCCTCCTGAGTAGCTGGCATTACATGCACCTGCCATCATGCCTGGCTAATTTTTTTTTTTTTTTTTTTTTTGTGGAGATGGAGTTTCACCATGTGGGCCAGGCTGGTCTTGAACTCCCGACCTCAGGTGATCCACCCGCCTCGGCCTCCCAAAGCGCTGGGATTACAGGCATGAGCCACTGCGCCCGGCCTGTGGTTGTAGTAATTCTTACAGCTCTTGCCCCTTGGGGTCATTGCTTGCTCTGTAGGGCTGTCTGCATAGAGATCATGTTTCTCCCAGAGCCAGCTGAAGTGAGTGGGGATGGTGCCAACTGGTAGGAGTGCTCCCTCCCTAGGGCTGGCCTGCTTGGCTTCCCTCTTGGGGTGTCTGGAGCCAGGGTCTACTTGAGGCTCCCCATCTTTTTTTAGGACTACTTTGAGATACTGTTTTCCTAACTGGGGCAGACCCTTCACTTAGCAATGTTCTGAAACCTTCCGACACTCAGAACTGGGTTCCAGAAATTTACACACACAGGTTTCTACAAAAGAGATCTGTACTCTTTCAGACCTTTTTTTTTTTATTTTTGAGACGGAGTTTCACTCTTGTTACCCAGGCTGGAGTGCAGTGGTACAATCCAGCCCACTGCAACCTTTGCCTCCTGGGTTCAAGCGATTCTCCTGACTCAGCCTCCCAAGTAGCTGGGATTACAAGCATGCGCCACCATGCCCGGCTAATTTTGTATTTTTAGTAGGGACGAGGTTTCACCGTAGGTCAAGCTGGTCTTGAACTCCTGGCCTCAGGTGATCCACCCGCCTTTGCCTCCCAAAGTGCTGGGATTATAGGCGTGAGCCACGGCACCCCGCCTTCTTTCAGACTTAGAAGATATCAGGCTGGGCGTGGTGGCTCATGCCTGTAATCCCAACACTTTGGGAGACCAATGCAGGAGGGTCGCTTGATGCCAAAAGTTGGAGACCAGCCTAGGCAAATAGGCAACAAAATGAAACCCCATCTTTACAAAAATTAGCCGGGCATGATGGTGCATGCCTGTAGTCCCAGCTGCTTGGGAGGCTGAGGCAAAAGGATCCCTTGAGCCCAGGAGTTCAAGGCAGCAGTGAGCCGTGATTGTACCACTGCATTCCAGCCTGGGCAAAGTCAAATAAATAAATAAAAATGAACAAAAGGCTGGGCACGGTGGCTCATGCCTGCAATCCCAGCACTTTGGGAGGCCAAGGCAGGCAGATCACCTGAGGTCAGCAGTTTGAGACCAGCTTGGCCAACGTGGTAAAACCCCATCTCTACTAAAAAAAAACAAAAAACAAAAAAAACACACATACACACAGAAATTAGCTGGGCATTGTGGTGGGCACCTGTAATTCCAGCTACTCAGGAGGCTGAGGCAGGAGAATCGATTAAACCCAAGAGGCGGAGATTGCAGTAAGCCAAGATCACGCCATTGGCACTCTAGCCTGGACACAGGAGCGAAACTCCAAAAACCAACAACAAAAAAAGGTATCAGTATAAATCCCTGATTTACTACTTATTTATTTTCCCCTGTTCCTGTTATAGGTAGTCCGGGGGATCCTGCTCATCTCAGCTGTGCCAACACCCTGGGGTTGAGGAGCTGCCTGTGAGTAAATCAGTATCACTCTGCACCTGTCTATTTGAAAACAGGGTTTGAAAATGGTGGAGAGTCACCAGTGACTCTTGACTTTTGAGGGAAACAGTGTATCCTACTTTCCTGTTCTTTGTTTCTTTTAAACCTTTATCTTTCCATTTTGAAAATGATTGTCACATGCCTCAGTTAATCTTTAGGAAGTATAGAAGCATTCCTAACCTCAGTGCCCAGTTGCACTTGGAGGGCTGGGAACAGAAGCCTTCCTGTCCCCTAACAGGAATTAAATGGAATTTTATTTTTGGACTCCCAGTTGGAGTGGGCACTGGCCACTGTACATTCAAAGTGTCCAGTGTCAGTATTTTGGTGTACAGCAAGTCTCATTTAATGCCTGTTGGTTCTTTGAAACTGCAACTTTTTTTTTTTTTGAGACAGTCTTGCTCTGTCACCCAGGCTGGAGTGCAGTGGCACATGCTTACTGACTGCAACCTCTGCCTCCCAGGTTCAAGTGATTCTCCTGCCTCAGTCTCCCAAGTAGCTGTGATTACAGGCATGCTCCACTGCACCTGGCTAATTTTTGTATTTTTCTTAGAGACAGGGTTTCACCACGTTGGCCAGGCTGATCTTGAACTCCTGACCTCCCGTGATCCGCCCGCCTTAGCCTCCCAAAGTGCTGAGATTATAGCTGTGAGCCACCATGCCCGACAGAAACTGCAACTTTAAGGTCCACAAATAGCGTAATTTTATTATAACTTTGGATGAGAAAAAAATTTGGTTTTCTTATGTCTTTTTGCTTGCGGTTGCATTTTCTTTTTTTTTTTTTTTGAGACAGTCTCGCTCTGTCGCCAGGCTGGAGTGCAGTGGCGTGATCTCAGCTCACTGCAACCTCTGCCTCCTGGGTTCAAGTGATTCTCCTGCCTCAGCCTCTCTAGTAGCTGGGATTAGAGGCACCGCCACCACACCCAGCTAATTTTTGCATTTTTAGTACGAAAATACAGAATTTTCACCACATCGGCCAGGCTCTTCTTGAACTCCTGACCTCAGGTGATCCAACTACCTCAACCTCCCAAAGTGCTGGGATTACAGGCATGAGCCACCACACCTAGCTGCTCCCGTTATTTTCTTTAGTGAGTTCTCCAGCAGGTGTTCCTCCCTGGGGACCAGTTCCCCCAAACCTTGTCTCTCTGGACTTTCCTTTGAGTGTTTGTCTGTCCTTCTAGATGAGCTGAACCATTTCACTTCTAAAGCAGTCTTTTTAGGATCGTAACTGAAGTGTCATTAAACCCATCAAAGCAGTTGGGAAGGAATATTACTTTTTTTGTTTGTTTGTTTGTTTGAGACAGGGTCTCATTCTGTTCATTGCCCAGGCTAGAGTGCAGTGGTGCAATCATGGCTCACTGCAGCTTTGATCTCCCAGGCTCAAGCCATTCTCCCACCTTAGCCTCCTGAGTAGCTGGGACTTCAGGCATGTACCACCACGCCTTGCTAAATTTTTTTCTTCTCGGTATTTTTTGTAGACAGGATCTCACTGTGTTGTCCAGGCTGGTCTCAAACTCCTGGACTTAAGCAATCCTCCTGACTTTGGCCTCCCAAAGTGCTGGGATTACAGGCATGAGCCACTGCACCCGGCCTATTTTCTTTGTATAGGTCACATGCATTGCATTTTAGATAATTTCCAGATGTTTATTATTTTCTATTTCTTTTCATTGTCTTTTCTAAGTGATTATTGCTGTCCCGTAAGTTGCTAAGTTGTACAATTTTCTTGTATCTGACCCCTTTCCTGTTATTTGTTCAGCTCTTGTAGCAGCCCAGGTTTAGTTTATGGCTGTGATCTTAGTACACAGTAATCATCTGCCTTTTCTTTCCCAGGGCTTCTGCTTCTGGGGTGGTTTCAGTTCTTAGCTCAGTAGCCAGATCTGTGTCAGAGCAGCTGTAGTCAGTCATGCAGTATCACAATAGCAGAAAATACAGAATCTAGTGTTTGTGACATATGGTGTTAGCTTTTGGGTTTAAGTAATCTTTGTTCTGTCTGTTACTCTTTTTATTAGGAATGGATGTTGAATTTGTCCAGCAACTTTTTAGCATTTAAATTTCATACTAAAACAAAAGCTGGCCGGGCACGGTGGCTCACACCTGTAATCCCAACACTTTCGGAGACTGAGGTGGGCAGATCACGAGGTCAGAGTTCAAGACCAGCCTGGCCAACATGGTGAAACCCCATCTCTAATAAAAATTTAAAAATCAGCTGGGCATGGTGGAATGTTCCTGTAATCCCAGCTACTTGGGAGGCTGAGGCAGGAGAATTGCTTGAACTGGGACCCGGGAGGCGGAGCTTGCAGTGAGCCGAGATGGCGCCACTGCACTCCAGCCTGGGCTACAGAGCGAGACTCGTCTCAACAACAGCAACAAAACATAAAAACTGTACTTTAGTCACGTAACTTTTTTTAAAGTTCCCAGTTTTGAACGTCTACTTGAAAATTTAAACAATGAGGACTGTACAGCTGTTTTGATGGACTTGTTTACTTATCAAGAATTATGGATGAGGCCAGGCACAGTAGCTCACGTCTCTAATCCCAGCACTTTGGGAAGTTGAGGTGGGCAGATCGCTTGAGGCCAGAAGTTCAAGACCAGCCTGGCCAACATGGTGAAACCCCGTCTCTACTAAAAATACAAAAATAACTGGGTGTGATGCTGCACGCCTGTAATCCCAGGTACTTGGGAGGCTGAGGCAGGAGAATCACTTGAACCCAAGAGGTGGAGGTTGCAGTGAGCCAGGATCACACCACTGCACTCCAGGCTGGGCAACTGAGGGAGAGTCTGTCTCAAAAATATATGTATAATAATTATGGATGAGGCCAGGTGCAGTGGCTCATGCCTGTAATCTCAGCACTTTGGGAGGCTGAGGCAGGCAGATCACTTGAGGTTAGGAGTTTGAGACCAGTCTGGCCAACATGGTGAAACTTCATCTCTACTAAAAATACAAAAATTAGCTGGGTGTAGTGGCACATGCCTGTAATCCCAGCTACTCGGTGGCTGAGGCAGGAAAACTTTGTGAACCTGGAAGGTAGAGCTTGCAGTGAGCCCAGATTGTGCCACTATACTCCAGCCTGGGTGACAGAACAAAACTGTGTCTCAAAAAAAAAAAAAAAAGAATTGTGGATGGTGGTAATGTTTCAGCAGCCAAAAACTTTTACTTTTTATTTTGGTCACACAGTATAAACACCTGGAGTCACCAGACAAGTAGCTATAAATCGTAACCATTTACATTAGATTTTTTAAACAGTTATTTTACAGATGCAGGTAATCCTCAGTTGAAATGGCCCAGATCTCTGAGGGTGAGTAGGTGGATCATTTTTTTTGGGCGGCGGGGGACGGAGTCTCACTCTATCGCCTAGGCTGGGGTGTAATGGCACAGTCTTGGCTCACTGCAACCTCCACTTCCCAGGTTCAAGTGATTCTCCTGCCTCGGCCTCCCAAGTAGCTGAGACGACAGGCACCCACCACCACACCCAGCTAATTTTTGTATTTTTAGTAGAGACAGGATTTCACCATATTGGCCAGGCTGGTCTCAAACTCCTGACCTTGTGATCCGCCCGCCACAGCCTCCCAAAGTGCTAGGATTACGGGCGTGAGCCACCACACCTGGCTTTTTTTTTTTTTTTTCTCTGTAGAGACAAGGTCTCACTATGTTGCCCAGGCTAGGGTCGAACTCCTGGAATTGAGCAGCCCTCCTTCCTTGGCCTCGTGTAGTGCTGGGATTACAGGTGTGAGCCATGGTGCTCAGCTGATAGAGCTTTTTTTTTTTTTTTTAAGACAATCTCACTCTGTTACCTAGGCTGGAGTGTGGTGGCACGGTCTTGGCTCACTGTAGCCTCTGCCTCCCTGCTGCCTCCACCTCCCAGCTTCAAGCAGTTCTCATGCCTCAGCCCTCCAAGTAACTGGGATTACATGTGTGTGCCACCACACCCTGCTAATTTTTGTAGTTTTAGTAGAGACAAGGTTTCACTATGTTGGCCAGGCTGGTCTTGAATTCTTGGCCTCAAGTGATCCACCCACGTTGGCCTCCCAAAGCACTGGGATTACAGATGTGAGCCACTGCGCCCTGCCAGAGTATTTTTGATCCAAGAGAACATCATGGACATTATGTATCAGCTTCCAGCGTTCTTTCCCATAGAAGCAAAGGCAGAGAAGCAGCGCCCAGACTTTGGCTAAGCAGACTGTCAGACAGCAGTTGTGAGACCCAGCAAACCTGAATCTCATTCAGTGGGGAGACCTCAGCTGATGTGAGGCTATTTTTGTTTCTAAATCTGTACTTAGTGTGAATGCTGATGGGATTTGCTGGGGGATGTTACTGTGGTGAGGACCAGGCCCCTGTGGGTGTGTCCAACTCTGGATGGCTCCCTGCCTTCACTGAGTCCGCCTTGTGCTTCTCTGCCTGGTTTGTTTTTTTGAGTCTTCGTCTTTGCCTGTCAGCACCCCGTGACTGCTGGCATCATGCCTTCTTGTGGAAGCCACCATCTTCCTTGCTAACTGAGGGTTGGGAAGTTGTGTAATTCAGCTTGATGTAGGGAGGAGGTGTGTTCCCATGCACGGGCACTGTCGTCACCCACACTGGGAGGTGAGCCCACCTCACAGAAGGAACACAGCCTGGCCAGGGGGCAGTCTGAGGCTGCGTGGGCTCTGCTGCATTCTGTGTGGCTCGGCCCTCGGCATGCCTTGACTCTGGACTGTGGATTCAGGGGCCTCTTCCTGGCTCAGAGGTGACTCCAGAGCTGGGGAGAACCTAGAGACATGGTGGGTGGGGCTGGGCCACCCTGGAGAGAGCCTGGAGCTGTCCTCACAGGGATTGGGGAGGTGACCAAGGGGGGGTGCCTGTCCCCCTTTCTGCCCCTCCCAGGCCTCACTGGTGTCCACCAGGCACCTTCCATGTGTCTGTTTCCAGTATTCTTGAGAACCTTTCCATGAGGTCAGTGTTGGGTTTGCTTGTCTGTAATTGAGGGAAGACTCTGAGCCTGGGAGAGTTCTTGTGGGAGATCCCAGACCATTACTGGTGCAGAGAGGAGCCCCCGCTGCCTGGGCTTCTGATCCTGGTGTGTGCTCACTCTAAGCTGCCCTGGGCTGACAGTGCCCTGCACCAGTCGCACTGCCCTCTCCGGGCTACAAGCCGAGGCAGGCCTGTGTCTGCAGGCCCCCAGTATCCCCATCTAAGAGACAAGCAGCGGGTCTGGAGAGTCCCCGCCTGGCTTCCAACTCTGATCGGTGGCTTCTCCGAGGCTGTGAGGCGGTGGTAATCACAGGAGCCACATCGTTGGTGGGTGTTCCCATGTCTCAGTTACTGTCCTGGTACTTAGTATCTATTAACACACGAATTCACGAGAAATGCTCCCAAAGCACAGAGAGGTTAAATTACTCAGTCAAGGTCACACAGCAGTAAGTAGTGGAGCTGGAATTTGAGCTCCAACAGTCTGCTCCGGAACTCCAGCTTTGCCGCTGATGTCAGGCCAGGCACAGAGAACTGATGGAAACAGGAGGAGCTGATGTGAAGTTATGCGACATACATGGCCTTTTAGGTGAGCTCGGGCCACCCAGGGGGGATTTGTGCCCAATTGCAGGGGAGTTTCTAGTGTGCCAGGCAAGACACGCAGGAGATCGTGAGCCTGAAAGGGCCTCGCACAGGTCAGCTGTTTCAATTTTAGACTGTAAATGGTGTTGTGGCACCACGCTGCAGTCAAATGATAGTCTCTGTGTTGCACACAAACCGTAGGCTCTGGGCCAGGCACAGTCCATGCTGCAGATGCTCGGGCTGCAGTGGCCTCCTCAAGGCCTTTCTGTGATGGATACGGCACAGGCGGCTGCTGGGGCCGATGCAGCTTGGACCGAGATGGGTCTGGGTTAGTGCCAGCCTCCCGCTGCCGCCTGTGAGACCTCGAGCCTGCTCTCTGGCCCTCGCAGACCCACATTCCGGTTGGGAGAAAGCAAGTGTGGTGCACACAGTGTGCACCTGGTCTCTAAGATGGCCAGATGTCAGCAGGGCACCCGCTAGGAGGCAGCACTGTGGATGAGAGGCCAGAGCGGTGCAGTGGTCAGGGAGGTCTGAGTGAAGCAAGGGCGTGAGCTAGGGATGTCCAGGCAAGGGGGCAGGTGTGAGGCTCTGATCTCAGAGCCTGCTGGTGCCAGAGTGGACAGGTGCGTAGAGGAGGAGGAGATGGGCTTTGGGCCTTATTCTTTGGATTTTACTGTTTTGCTCCGGTGCCTGCAGGCAGCTAGTGTAGAGATCTGAGGTCAGCGAGCGCCCTTACTGATCTGCAAGTCTTGCTCAAGAGCCACGGGTCTTTCCAGAAAGTCACTTGTTGGAGGAGAGGGCCTCCAAAGTCAACAGAGTCTCTACTCTGCCCTCCATTCCCCCACAAAGTGCCAAAGCGATGCATCCTACCTCCCCAAGTCTCTGGGAGTGGGCCTGGGAGACCCACCCAGGGATCCATCCTTTGTTGATTGTGTTTGTGTCTGACCTGCCCGCCCTTCTGTGGGGATCAGCAAGCCCATGCTGCTGTCCGACGAGGTGTGGGGCTGAGGGGGCTGCACGCTGTCCTGGCCTCCCTTCCGAAGGGCTCCCCAGGGGCAGTGCAAACATCAGGAAGTAGGTGGGATTGTGTGTGGTTGTGACATGGCATGGCACGGGGCATATGGGTTTTGCTGCTGTTGGTGTTTGGTGCTGAGCTGTCAAAGGCTAGTGCTGGCTCTTAATACTGTTTTCTACTCTTCCCTTTTCAAGGAATGTTCCATTTGGCTGCTGCACTTCCATCCACCCTGTGTACCCATCCTTCAGAGGTGATCACCTCGGCTGTTGGACTCTGAGACCTGAGTGCCTTCGCACGGTGTTGGGAGCGCCATGGACCTCTACCTCTGTGGGTTTTGTGGTCATGGGACCTCGGTGCCTTCCTGTGCGCGGCTGGCACTCTTCACGCCCTGTTGGCGATGACTCGGTAGTAGAGAAGTCCCTCAAGTCCTTGAAGGACAAAAACAAGAAGCTGGAGGAAGGTGGCCCAGTGTACAGCCCCCCCGCAGAGGTGGTGGTGAAGAAGTCCCTGGGGCAGAGGGTGCTGGACGAGCTGAAGCACTACTACCATGGCTTCCGCCTGCTATGGATCGACACCAAGATCGCAGCACGCATGCTCTGGCGCATCCTCAACGGCCACACCCTGACCCGCCGGGAGCGCAGGCAGGTAATGGGGACATGTGCAGTCCTTTCTTTTTTTTCTTGCTGTATCACCCAGGCTGGAGTGCAGTAGCGCAATTTCCGGGGCATAGGCAATCCTCCCGCCTCACCCTGCCGAGTATCTGGGATACTCGGGCTTGTGCTACCACACCTGGCTAATTGTTTTTTATAGATCCAGGGTCTCACTTTGTTGCCCAGGCTGGTCTCAAACTCCTGGGCTTAAACAATCCTCCCACCTCAGCCTCCTAGAGTGTCGGGATTACAGGTGTGAGCCACCGTGCTGGGCCGTGCCCAAATTCTTTTCACTCTATAGATTGCTTGAAAGTTATTTTTAGGGCTTGCTTTCTGTTTGGTAGAGAAAAAAACCTATTGCCTAGGAAAAACTCGGTTTACCCGTGTATTTCATCTCCCCTCCACTGCAACAGTCATCCACATAGAAGACCACACAGCAGACACCAGCTGGGTGTCCTCTGATTCAGTTCTGACAACATCTACCTGGAGATAACATCAGATCCCACAGGGTGAGGACTCTGTCCCCAGGATGCCGCCCACCAGTCTCAAGTCCAGGCCTCTCAGAACTTCTGACAGACTGGCTTCAAGTTAGGTTCCCACCAACCCCTCTTCATTTTTATTTTTATTTTTTGAGACAGAGTCGCACTCTGTCGCCCAGGCCTGAGTGTGGTGGCACAGTCTTGGCTCACTGCAACCTCTGCCTCCTGGGTTCAAGTGATTCTCCTGCCTCAGCCACCTGAGTAGCTGGGATTTCAGGCATATACCATCACACCTGGCTAATGTTTGTATTTTTAGTAGAGAGGGGTTTCACCATGTTGGCCAGGCTGCCCTCAAACTCCTGGCCTCAAGTGATCCACCTGCCTTGGCCTCGCAAAGTGCTGGGATTATAGGCGTGGGCCACTATGCCTGGCCCCCTCTTTGTTTTTAAATTGTTTTAATTTTTTATTTTTGTGGGTACATAGTAGGTACATGTATTTATGGGCTACATGAGGTGTGATGGCACCCCCACCCCCACTTTGGGTTCGATTAATTTGCTGGAGTGGCTCACAGAACTTAGGGAAACACTTATCAGTTTAGTATAAAGGATAGTGCAAAGGATACAGGTGAAGAGACCGTCAGGCAAGGTATGTACAGGGAAGGGGCATGGAGCTTCCATGCTTCCCGGGTCGCAACTCCCGGTGAACCTCTACCGTGTTCAGCTTTCTGGAAGCTCCTTGAACCCAGTCCTCTTGGGCATTCCTTCCCTCAGGGCATAGGGCAGAACCCTCTTTAGGGAGGGTCTTAAAACCCATAGTCAAGAAGTTGGGAAGATTAGTGACCTGCCTGAGGGCAGGTGAAAGGAGGGTAAGGAGGTCAGAGGCCTGCCCCCCCCCCACCAGGCCCGACACACCTAACATTATCACAAAAGACTGTAACAAGGGCAGTTGAGCCAGGAACTAATACCTGTCATAACACCACACCTATGCAAAGGCGCACCTAGCCACTGAATTGAATTGCAACACCGTCTGCTCATGCTTCGACTCTTTCCCACCAGCAGTTTTCAGCACACACCTCCACCCACTCTCGATGCCTTGACCCTCTCGATGCCATTGCCCTTCCCCGCTGCTATTTCCAGGGAGGGGTCTGCGTCGGCACTGTTGCACTTCTGGTGCAGGTGCAGGCCCTGTCTGTCTTATTGCTTCCAGGTTTGTCTGGAGGGCTGTGTGTGTCTCTCTGGGTGAGTTTGTTTTTATTGTTGGGATCCGTGCTCCTGACCCCAAGGTTCCACATCTGCCATCTGTCGTAGAACCTGCTTGCTCACCAGTGGCCAGGCTCTTGGGGCTCCTGGTTTGGCCTCTGGTGCACCAGCTCCTGCTGTCCTTCACCGTTCTAAAAAGATTCTCCATTTTCTGTCTTTGTCTCGGGGCTGCAATCTAGATGTCTTCTTTCTATTTTACTCATTTTCTTTTCAGCTGAAGTAATCTTATTTAATGCAACCACTGAGGTTTTATTTTCAGTGGCTATGTTTTTAAGTCTAAAAGCTCGATTAGTTTATTTTTAGTTAGTTTTTTTAAGTTAAAAGAGATGGAATCTCACTTCAGAGGGGTACACCTTGTATGATGTAGGTGGTGAGCTAGTTTTCTTCAGCACAGATATTGTTTGCTTCTGTCATGGGACACCATGGGCCGCAGAGAGTGCAGCCCTGTGTGAGAATCAAGTCCACTCTCCCAGGTGCAGCCTCATCTCCTGTCCGCTCCACCCTTTCCTCCCAAGAACACCTCATGGTTTCTAGCTCTTGGGGTTTATATCACGTTTGTGTGACTCTAGTTAATTTATTTACTTATTTTTATTTTTGAGATAGGGTCTCGCTCCCCTACCCAGGCTGGAGTGCAATTGTACCCTCAAAGCTAACCAAAGCCTCAGCCCTCCCAAGCATAAGGGATCCTCCCACCTCAGCCTCCCATGTAGCTGGGACCACAGATACTGCTGCCATACCAGGCTAATTTTTAAATTTTTTGTAGAGACTGGATCTCACTGTGTTGCCAAGGCTGGTCTCAAACTCCTGACCTCAAGCAGTCCTGCTGCCTCGGCCTCCCAAAGTGCTGGGATCACAGGCATGAGCCACTGCACCCGGCACCAGCCTTCCTTTTTAAAGATAATCCTGGCCAGGCGCCTTGGCTCACGCCTGTAATCCCAGCATTTTGGGAGGCCGAGGCGGGCCGATCAGGAGATCAAGAGATCGACACCATCCTGGCCAACATGGTGAAACCCTGTCTCTACTAAAAGTACGAAAAATTAGCTGGGCGTGGGGTGGCGGGCACCTGTTATCCAGGCTACTCAGGAGGCTGTGGCAGGCAGGAGGAATCACTTGAACCGGGAGAGGCAGAGGTTTGCAGTGAGCTGAGATCGCGCTACCACACTCCATCCTGGAGGAGCGAGAGCCGAGACTCCGTCTCAAAAATAAAATAAAAAAATAAAGGGTAATCCCGTGCAACTTAAATGTGCTCTAAGAGGCATGAGATTTATTGTTCCGCTTTGGTTTAAAACATTTAAGAAAGTTATTTTCTTGTTTGGGTACAGTGGCTTCGACGCTCTGCTAACCCCGTAGCACTTTGGGAGGGCCAGGTGCTGCAGATCACTTGAGGTCAGGAGCTTGAGACCGCTGGCCACATGGTGAACCTGTCTCTACCAAAAATATAAAAAGTTAGCTGTGCTTGGTGGCCACATGTCTGTGTAATTCCAGCTACTTGGGAGGCTGAGGCACGAGATCGCTCGAACCAGGGAGGTGGAAAATACAATAATGATCCGAGATCGCACCATTGCACTCCAACGTGGATGACAGAGCTAGATGCCAATCTCAAAAAAAAAAAAAGGGCCGGGCGCGGTTGGCTCAAGCCTGTAATCCCAGCACTCTGGGAGGCGAGGACGGGCGGATCACAACGTCAGGAGATCGAGACCCCTGGCTGACCGGTGAAACCCGTCTCTTACTAAAAAATACAAAAAACTAGCCTGGCGAGGTTGGCGGCGCCTGTAGTCCAGCTACTCAGGAGCTGAGGCAGGGACGAATGGCGAGAACCCGGGAGGCGGGCTTGCAGTGAGCTGAGATCCGGCCACTGCACTCCAGTCTGGGCGGCAGAGCGAGACTCCGTCTCAAAAAAAAAAAAAAAAAAAGTTGTAATTTGGATTTTTAGTGATGATTTTCCACAATGTATAAATTTACCAAAATCATCAAATTTATTTATTTTTTGTTTGTTGTTTGTTTGTTTGAGCGAGTCTCGCTCTGTCGCCCGGGCTGGAGTGCAGTGGCCGGATCTGCTCACTGCAAGCTCCCCTCCGGGTTCTCGCCATTCTCCTGCTCAGCCCCTGAGTAGCTGGACTACAGGCGCCGCCACCGTCGCCCGGCTAGTTTTTTGTATTTTTTTAGTAGAGATAGGGTTTCACCGATGTTAGCCAGGGATGGTCGTCGATCTCCTGACCTCGTGATCCACCCGTCTCGGCCCTCCCAAGTGCTGGGATTACAGGCTTGAGCCACGCGCGCCGCGCCAAATTTATTTAAATAGGTGAATGTTTATGGGTATATTTAATTACACCTCAGTAGAACTGCTAAAAAAATTAATGAGGCATATCAAAAAACACGTACCAGCTTTAAGGATATGTCCTGCCCAAATACGGCACCGTTTGGGAATAAAGACAGTCATAAATTGTAATCAGTGAAAAAAATATAGGAGTCCATGGGTCCAGTGCAATAATAAAGAGAAAAATGAATGTACAGGAAGGCAGGGTTCTCCCCTCCTACAGATGACAGATAGGAGAGTTAGGGAGCTTCTGTTTTGTGTCCATGAGTGGAGGCTGGCTCCACGAATGCAGGGTCGGGAGAGAGAGGCTGGGGAGGAGGAAGAGGACATTGCTGCTCTCAGGGCGTCTCCCTGGGATTGCTCACTTGTTGCCAGTGGAAACGTAGGAACTACACAGAACACCTTGGCCAAAGGACCCATGCGAGCAGCACCGAGGAGGGGCAGCGTCACCCACGCTGTTTTCCAGCAGTTGTTCAGGCTTCATGGGGATTTCTGATTGTTTCAAATTGGGTGTTTCTTTAATGGCATCAAGCACTAGTTTGTTTATGTCAATGAAATACTTGGGTTTTTTCCTAATGACTGCTTTGTAGTATAGTCTGAGGAAACACGAGAGAAGCCCTCCTTCTAGAGCACCCTCCAGGAGAAGGTATGGGTCAGCCCATCCTGGTGACCGCTCACCACTCTAGTCATGCCCAGTCCTCAGCCTGCAGCCCTCACTTGCTGGCCCCGAGCCCGGATTGCTGGCCAGTGTCCTTGGAGGACCGAATCGCCGGGAGCACCCAGTGGCCCTTCGTGTCAGCACTATACCCTCCTTTTCTGGAGGCTGCTGGTACTTGCTTTGGACCCTGAGAAAGAAGTGGGTTTCGGTAGTGGTCTGCTGAGTGGTTCTAGAACTTAGAGTCCTCAGTGGGTCGTGTGAGTCGCTGCCTGAGGTTGTGCCTGTAAACCGTTATAGGAGAAATGCTCACACCCCTTGCCCCTGTTCCCACATGTGCTCTGCTCCCCTCTGATGGATTCCACCCCTTTCCAGTTTCTCCGGATCTGCGCTGACCTCTTCCGCCTAGTGCCATTCCTCGTGTTCGTGGTGGTGCCGTTCATGGAGTTTCTGCTGCCTGTTGCTGTGAAGCTCTTCCCCAACATGTTGCCATCCACATTTGAGACTCAGTCCATCAAGGTGAGGGCGGCATCCCAACTGCTTGTTTTGGAACAAGATTGAAATTCATTGTGGTAGCTTCCTTGTTTGTGACTATTTCAAGTGCTAGACATTTTCGAGACTTTATGTATCTTCATATCGTCCTTGTGCTATGTGATAATTATTCAGTGGATGCTGGGTTTTGGATTTGTTTCTCTTTATTTATTTATTTATCTATTTATTTATTTGTTTTTGAGACAGAGTCTCACTCTGTCACCCAGGCTGGAGTGCAGTGGTGCGATCTTGTCTCACTGCATCCTCCACCTCCAGGGTTCAAGCGATTCTCCTGACTCAGCCTCCCAAGTAGCTGGGATTATAGGCGTGTACCACCATACACAGGTCTTGCCCTGTCACCCAGGCGGGAGTGCAATGGCGCGATCACTGCTCACTGCAGCCTCAAGTTCCTGGACTCAAGTGATCCTCTTGTCTTAGTTCCCAAATAGCTGGGACTACAGGCTAAGCCACCATACCTGACTAATTTATTTTGTTTGTTTTTTATAGACAAGATCTGCTATGTTGCCCAGGCTGGTCTCAAACTCCTGGGCTCAAGTAATCCTCTTGCCATGACCTCCCAAAGTGTTGTTATTACAGGTGTGAACCACTGCTTCCAGCTCAATGTGTTTTAAAATACAGGTTTTCTAGACCAGTGTTCCTCATGCTGTAGGGGAGTTGTGAGGTCCTTCTGGGGCAGGGTCAGCCAGCTGCAGCCCACAGGCCAGATCTAGACCCTGCCTGTTCTCAGTCCCCTGTGGGAACCTGCGATGCCCAATCATGTGTCTTGTCTGTGAGGCACCAGCAGAATTAAGCAGTTGTTTTAGACCACACAGCCCATGAAGGCCAAATGCTTTCCTGTCTAGCCTGTTAATGGTAAGTGTGCCGACCTTTGCTTTAGGGGATCACAGGAGTTTGTTTGTTTGTTTTTTTGTTTTGTTTTGTTTTTTGAGATGGAGTTTCACTTTGTCACCCAGGCTGGAGTGCAGTGGTGCAGTCTTAACTCACTGTAGCCTCCACCTCCTGGGTTCAAGAGATTCTTGTGCCTCAGCCTCCCAAGTAGCTGGGATTACAGGTGTGCATGCCTGGCTGATTTTTGTGTTTTTAGTAGAGACGGGGTTTCGCCATGTTGGCCAGGCTGGTCTCGAACTCCTGACCTCAGGTGACCCACCCACCTTGGCCTTCCAAAGTGCTGGGATTACAGGCATGAGCCACCGTGCCTGGCCCACAGGGGTATTTTTTAAAACCATGAAATAGGCCGGGCGCGGTGGCTCAAGCCTGTAATCCCAGCACTTTGGGAGGCCGAGACGGGCGGATCACGAGGTCAGGAGATCCAGACCATCCTGGCTAACACAATGAAACCCCGTCTCTACTAAAAATACAAAAACATTAGCCGGGCGTGGTGGCGGCGCCTGTAGTCCCAGCTAGCAAACTATATGTCTATCTCGACATCTACCTATCTATACATACACCTTATGCTGAGGGACTTTAATATGGTTGATAATCACATTCTGTGCGGATCACTGCACTCCAGCCTGGGAGAGAGTGAGACTCTGCCTCAAAAAAAAAAAAAAAAAAAAACCATGAAATAAAAGGGTTTGAGAATGTATTGCACTTATATGAGTCAGTGTTTTGTGAAATGTTTCTGGGGGTGGGGGTTGGGCACAAACGTGAGATGTTTTCCTTGCCCAAACCACAGTCTGAGCAGTTGGAGTGCACTCCTGAGCCCACCCTCCAGGAGGCCCCAGGGTCTAGGTGCCGGCAGGAGAGGCCGGGGCCTGGAGTGCAGTGGTGCCCTCTCTGCCCTTGCAGGAGGAGAGACTGAAGAAGGAGCTTCGGGTCAAGCTGGAGCTGGCCAAGTTCCTCCAGGACACCATCGAAGAGATGGCCTTGAAGAACAAGGCAGCCAAGGGCAGCGCCACCAAAGACTTCTCTGTATTTTTCCAGAAGGTGCTGTGATGCGTCTGAGTCCCTGTGACCTCACCAGGGAGCCTTCCTTGCTTTTCTGTTTCCCCTTCACTGTGCTCAGCAGAGTGGAGCTCCCCCAGGTGGCTGGCTGGCGCTTGAGAGTTTACCCAGGAGGCTCAGTTGGGGGCCAGTGGAGTGTCAGGAGTCTGGCCTCCCTGAGCTCCCAGTGAGTTGAGCTGTGGTGGCTGCTCCTCGTCAGCCTTCAGAATCACGGGTGTCTGTGTCTCATCACCCTGCAGTCCTCCAGGCACAGTAGAATCTGACCCATGAGGGGCCCGAGACCCTGATGTTGTGAGGTGTGGGTGGCTTGGCCGGGCTCCTCTGCTGGGCACTGCCCTCTGGCTAGACTCAGTCAAGAAGGTCCCAGATCCCAGGGGCTGGTCAGAGGCCTGGACTGTGGGAGCAGTGGAGGCTCTAGAGGAGGAGCGGCCCTCGAGGTTTCCTGTGGTCATGTGGCCAGTGAGGTGAGGATGGGGGAGAGGGTGGGTGCCATGGACGAGATCCCTGAGGACTAGATGGGGCTGACAAGGCCAGTGTCATTGGCTTGAGGGACTTGGGACACTTTGGAGTCAGAAGGATGTCTGAAGTGCAGGAAGAGCTTAAACCTGGGGCTAGAAACTCCAGCCATGCGTGTGCCTTGTCTGTGGGGTTGTCCCACTGCAGCACAGAGGCGAGTGGTTTCCATGGCTGCAAAGCCAGAAATACTTGCTCTCTGACCCTTGACAGAAAAGACTGCCAGGCCAAGGCCTAACCACAGAGAAGCCTCTTGGAAGGAGGCGGCACGGCCATGGGGCTGCTGAGCCCCCAAGGAGTGGGTGGTGGTTCCAGCAAGATGTTCTAGGGGGAGCCATGCTTTGGGAGCCTCGCCCAGGATGTTGCACCTTGCAGAGCGGGAGGAGGGGCTCGTCCCAACCTTTCCCGGGCTGCCGAGCTGCCAAGAAGGACGTGCTTGTGGTCACCCGCATTTTGGTGTGCTGCGTAGGGCGGCCCCCAGGAGCACACCTGAAACCGTGTCTTGGAGCTGGCATGTTACGATTTGAGCTGGGCACCAAGTCAGGCTCATCCTCCCTCGTCTGTCCTCTCTGCTAGAGACCCTCCTAACCCAGCTCTTGGCAGAGACTGAGCTGGTGGCTTGTCCCTCAGGTGGGAGGAACCACAGAGGGTCACCCAAAGGGCTCTGAGTGATCTGTGCTAAGGGAATCTAGCTCTCCCTAAAGAGCTAGATGGCACACCCCTCCCCCAAGGCTCAGGCAGTCATCTGTGGGAGATGTGGGTGCATACGGGTGCACCTCTTCCTGCCCCAGAGCAGCAGGGTCCCAGCCACTTTTGTGGCAGAGAGAGGATCACAGGACCTGCATGCAGCAGCCGGTAGGCCCAGGCCTCTCCCCCAGCAGACAGCAGCCTCAGCTTTACTGGCTCAGGCAGGGCTGGTCCAGAGGCCAGATACCACCTCTCCCCAGGCTAGCCCAGCACTTGAGTCAGAAGTCAGTGGTTTGAGGCTGAGCCGGGCAGATCATTTGAGACCAGCCTGGCCAACATGATGAAATCCTGTCTCTACTAAAATACAAAAATTAGCTGGGCGTGGTGGCGCAGCCTGTAATCCCAGCTACTCGGGAGGCTAAGGCAGGAGAATCGCTTGAACCCAGGAGGCGGAGGTTACAGTGAACCGAGATTACACCACTACATTCCAGCCTGGGCGACAGAACGAGACCCTGTCTCAAAAAAAAAAAAAAAAGAAGTCAGTGGTTTGAGTCCCTGAGGATGAGAGACAGCACCTTTTGGGAATGTGATCGGTCGTGGGAGGGAGCTGGGTGGGCACGTACCCCAGGGATGACCCTTGTGACCACTTCCGCAGATCCGGGAGACGGGGGAGAGGCCCAGCAATGAGGAAATCATGCGTTTTTCCAAATTATTTGAGGATGAGCTTACCCTGGACAACCTGACGCGGCCGCAGCTGGTGGCCCTGTGCAAGCTGCTGGAGCTACAGTCCATTGGCACCAACAACTTCCTGCGCTTCCAGCTCACCATGCGGCTGCGCTCCATAAAAGCAGACGACAAGGTAAGCCGGCCACACTCTGCGCCACAGCTATAGCGTTTACCTTTTTTTTTTTTCCTGATGACAAAAGCAGCATGTCCTCATTGTAGAGACTCGGGAAGATGCTGAACAATGGAAAATAAGCTCACTAGGAGTCTTGCCACTTGCAGATTGCAGATCCTTTGAAGATGGATGTCTTTTCTCTGGCAGCTTCTCGGATGATCTCTCTGTGTTTGGATTTCATCCGTTTTACAATAACTTGCTTAGGTGTGTCTGTCTTTGTGTTCGTCCTGCTTATTGATGACGGCGCCTCCGTGCCTCTCTCCTCCCATGAGGAGGGGCCTCATCGAGGGTCCGTTTGCCCCTTTGCCCTGTCCGGTCCATCACACGCGCTTGACTGTGTTTCACGCCCTTTTGTGCTTTCAGGGCGCTGCCCTCCTTCTGGGTCGAATAACCCCTTTTTTTTTTTTTTGAGACGGAGTTTCAATCTTGTTGCCCAGGCTGGAGTGCAGTGCGAGATCTCAACTCACTACAACCTCCACCTCCTGGACCATGCCCGACTATTTTTTGTATTTTTTGGTAGAGACAGGGTTTCACCACGTTGGCCAGGCTGGCCTCGAACTCTGGACCTCAAGTGATTTGCCCACCTTGGCCTCCCAAAGTGCTGGGATTACAGGTGTGAGCCACTGTGCCTAGCTGATTACTCTTTGATTCATATTAGGAGCTCTTAATTTAAGATTTCAGTTCTCAGGTAAAACTGTTCGTTTTGTCATTTGTCTTCTTGAACGCACTAACTCTAGTTCACATTGATTACTCTAATAACTGGGTGATCCGTAGGCCTTTTTCTTTTGCTTTCCCTTTTGATTTTGTTTGCAGTGTTTCGTTTTTCCTGGATGCAGGCGTTGTCTATGGAAGATAAAGAGGTTCAGGGCAGTGTTGGCCTCTTCCAGGAAGGGAATGCCTGCATCTCTGGTGAGCAGGTTGAGGGCCAGTCATTCCTACGAATCAAGGCAAGGCCATGTGGGAAGCCTGTATCCTGCCCTTGCTGGGACACAGCAGGCACCCTAGCCCTGGCGGGGATGGTGTCAGAGAAGGCTGAGCGGGGCCAGCCCCTGTAGTGTCAGTGGAGACCACGTCGGGGGCTTGAGCTTTCCTCTCATCTGACAGTGTGTCCGCCACACTTCTCCACCGCTGGGGTGGCCTGGGGGACCCAGCGGGGAGTTGGGACTTTGACCACTGCCCAGCAGGAACAAGGCCATGTCTGCCATTGTGCCCGTGGGAGCCAGGTGGGAGACAGTACTGAGATGCTTCTGCCCTCCTGCTGGGAGAGGCACCTGTGAGAGCTGGAACTCCCACGCACCCACTCCCAGCGGTAGCAAGCAGCACCGCTCCCACCGATGTCTGTGGAGGCTGGGTGGGGAGCCTGCACTTCTTCCGAGGCAGCGCTCCCACCACTTGTGAAATATGCCTAGGATTTAGCTTATGGATGTGAATGAGGGACAACATGGAGAGGTCAGTGCCATTGAGAGAAATGTGTTACCCACAGCTTTCCTGTCACTTGGCCCCCCAAAGCCTCCACACGCATGGGGAGCAGTAAGCTCGGGGGGACGATGCCTGCCTTCCTTGTGTGCAGCAGGTGGAGACATGTCTGACTGGGCGGGAAGGGAAACACAGACGTTGGGGTTTGTGGTTGGTGCTTGAAAGCTGGAACACAGGGAGGTGGAAACAGCTTTGGCCTTGTTAGCTTGGCCCTGGGATTAGTAGATGCCAGATCATCAATTGCAAACTCTGTGCAAATTAGAATACCCACCGCCCATGCCACCATGCACCAGAGGAGGTCAGCTGCGACAAACTGGAAGTCAGATCTAGATTCAAGAAGCAGGAAGGTATCAGTGAATGAGAAAAGGCAACGCCTGGTACCAACCCTGAGATGACAGAGACCCTGCACCTGGGCCTCAAACAGCCACCAATGCAAAGCTACAAAAGCCACAACAGAGTAAAACACTTGAAAAATAGATCTTGGCAAAGAAAGAGAAGAAAAGATATTATTAAATATTCATATTAAAAGATACTCAGAGAAGATACTAAGGCCAGGTGCGGTGGCTCACATCTGTAATCCCAGCACTCTGGAAGGCCAAGGTGGGAGGATTCCTTGAGCCTGGTAGTTTGAGACCTGCCTGGGCAACATAGTGAGACCCCCACCTCTACAAAAAAAATTTTAAAATTAGCTGGGCGTGATGACTTGCGCCTGTAGCTCCAGCTACTCAGAAGGCTGAGGCGGGAGGATTGCTTGAGCTTGGGAGATTGAGCTTGCAGTGAGTCATGATTGTGTCACTGCACTCCAGCCTGGGCAACAGAGGGAGACTCTGTCTCTTAAAAAAATAAAAATAAAAAAGAAGAACCAAATGAAAAATACAGTATCCAAAGTCAAAACCTGGGTGGGGTCAACAGCAGAATGGAGAAGATAAAATACAGAACGAGTAAACTTTAAGATAAAATGATAGAAATTACCCATTTGAACAACAGAGAGAAAATAGTAGAAAACGTTGAACAGAGCCCCACAGCCTGTGCTGTAGCAAGTGTTGACCATCTGTGTTATCTGGTGTTCCGGGGGAGAAAGGATAGAGCAGGGCTGAAAGAGTACCTCAAGAAATAATGGCTGACTGAAAACTTCCCAGGCTCAGTTAAAGATGTAAATCTGCAAATGTCAGAAGCTGAGTGAACCCTGAATAAGATAAATCCAAAAAAATTCACACCAAGTCACATCAGAGTCAAACTAATGAACCTGAAGACAATAGTTTTAAGGCAAAGAGAGAAAGGCATCGTGTGTGTGTGTGTCTGTGTATGTGTGTGCACGCACACGTGTGTGTATGTGTGTGTGGTTGTTGTTTCATTTATGAATGCCAGGTCTTTTTTTGGGTTTTGGGGGAGATGGTGTCTTGTTCTGTTGCCCTGGCTAGAGTGCAGTCCAGTGGCACAATCTCAACTCACTGTAGCCTTGACCTCCCAGAGCCAAGCCATCCTCCCACCTCAGCCCCCCGAGTAGCTAGGACCACAGGTGTGCGCCACCACACCGGCTAGTTTTGTTAATTTTTCTTGTAGAGATGAGGTCTTACTATTATGCTGCCCAAGCTGGTCTGAAACTCCTGGGCTCAAGTGATTCTCCCACCTCGGCCTCCCAAAATGTTGGGATTACAGGCGTGAGCCACTGTGCCTGGCCAAGAACGACATCTTTACTATTAGGGGAAAAGTTGAATGACAATGGATTTCTCCAGGAACTGTGGAGACCACAGGACATGGAGCATTATTTTTCAATTGTTAAAAGAACTGTCAACCCAGGATCTATCACCAGCAAAAATATAGCGATGACGGGGAGCCAAGGCAGTATCAGAGGGAAGGAAGCTGCGACTGTCACCAGCAAACCTCCCCTAAAGGAAGGGCTGAGGGAAGTTCCTCGACCAGAGAGGAAACAGTAAGAGAAAGTACCTCGTGGCAGCAGAAAGAGTTCCCAGCAACCAGAGGGAGGGTCGGCACAGCAGGCTGCGCTCTCCCTGCACCTTCTGTAGCAAACGAGGCTGAGGGACGTGCTCCGTGGTGGGGTGGAGGTGACGATGCGGTGGAGGCGACAGCTGAGAACAGACGGAGGGGAGGCTTCAGTGCTTGCCTTCGTGGGGGAGTGCCGACCCCACTGCACTGCAGTGAGCTGCGCCCGTGGATTGTGTGTCGCGATCCGCAGAGCAGCACTAAAAATGCTGCACAGGGACTCAGACCCCCAGAGCGAAATCTAACAGAGGTCAGCCAGCCCACAGGAGGACAGGGAGGAGAAAGACAGAAAGAGCTTCATTGCTGATCAACCAGAGGAGCCCAGCTCGGTGGGCGAAGGGTTTGGCTAAGGAGGGCACGCATGCTGTGGAATGCTGCGTGGCAGTGAGAGGCCTAACCTGGCACACCCACAGCACCCCCAGTGGGTCCTCGGAACCCCAGAGGTGACGTCCTGCATGATCCTGTTCAGAGAGCACTCCAGGTGACAGCTGCAGACGTGGAGACAAGCATATCTGAACGGACAGCACCGGGAGCTGGGGAAGGTGGCCTCTGTCTTGACTGGGTGGGTGGCATGTGCTCATTGCAGTGCTGCTGGTGAGACATTACACTAGGGGAGGCATCTTATGCACAGGAGCTCTGTTACTTGTTAAAACTGGATGTGTGTCCACAGTTATGTCAAGTTTGGTTTTAGAAGTGGAGGTGGTGGTACTGCCTACCCCACAGGGTGGTTGTGAGGTGGAGTGAACTCTAAAATGGTGGGCCCTGCTGCAGAGTCCTGGCGTGGGAGCCCTGTTGCCAGCATCTACCTAGCGGTGGCTGTCATTACTTCTCTGTGTCTCTCTTCACCTGTTGCTCCCTGTATGCCTTGGTGTCTTCTATCTCTGGGACTCCTGTTTGCTTTTCCAGTTGGGGTCACAGTGACCTTGGGCTGAGCAGAAGAGAGGGGCCCTTTGGGTATGGGGTCAGGTTGTATCTTCAGAGTATCTGGTTCCCTCTCCTTCTGTCCCTCTTTCTTTTCCATCCTGGGCACACTTTGGCAGATGGTGGACTGTGGGGATCAGGAGAAACATTAGGTGACAGGAGTAGCCAGGGTGGGGCTGGTTCTGCCATCAGGACAGAGGGATGGAGGTGGACTTCTTTGTCTCAGGGGATTGGTCGTGGCCGTTCTGTACTTCCCAAGATCCTGACCCTCCATCACAGGGTTTCAGCCACTTCAAACCTAGAACTGGGCTTTGGTGGCAGTGGTTTGATTCTTGCTTGGCAAAACCTGTTAGCCACTTACTCTGGAGGTGTTCACATAGACACGGTGACCCACCAGCAGCTGTCCCGGATAATAATTCACTGCTTTGTTTTCTAGCTGATTGCTGAGGAAGGGGTGGACAGCCTGAACGTCAAGGAGCTGCAGGCGGCATGTCGGGCACGAGGCATGCGGGCCCTGGGCGTCACGGAAGACCGCTTGAGGGGCCAGCTGAAGCAGGTGCGTGAATACTTGCCTTATGCCAGGCCAGCATCGGCTCAAGGGAAACATCAGCCTTGAAAGGCCACTTGGAGGCTTTTCTCAAACTCTGGGCGGGCCTGGCGAGGCGACACTCTGACCTCTCTGAGGACGGCTAGGATGTTTGGGCTGTTTCTCACCCTTCTGGTCTTATCACATTCACACCCCTGCATTCTCGCTTTTCATTGCCTTTTGAATATTGCTTTGATTTTTTCTTGTTTGCTTTTAGTTGATTTTAAAGACCTTAGTAACTTACTATTTTGATTATCTGTAGTCAGATGAGGACTAGAGTTCACCTCTGAGGTGTCAGACATGTTCACATTTTGATTCTTTCTGAACTGGGGCCATGGAAGGTTTGGGTGGCATGGCATGGTCTGACGTCTGGAGCTGCCCCCTCTCTTGGCCGTGCCCTGAGCAGGTGCCTGTTCCCAATGCCGTCAGATCAAGTGGCTTGTAGGTTGGGCAGTGGTGGCCCCGGCCACTCACTCTTACATGGAAAGGTTAAGGGGTGCAGGGCTCCAGCCAGTTTCCTCCCAGTGCCCTGGCACTGGCATGCCCTTGTTGGTCGTCATCGTCCTGCCGGGTTTTTCACACAACCTGCAAGAGTAGATGAAAGTGTGTGAACACACTTCCCCTCTCGACACAGACAGTATTTATGGTGTGATCCTGTGGCACCCCCTGCCTTCCACAGCTGCGTCTTCCATCGATTCCCCAGCAGAGCCTTCTCTGTGTCTGGCATGGGTGCTAACCTCCCTAGCACTCTGCCCAGCCTTCTGGAGCTCCGTGGGGACATGGGCCACACACACAGGGGCATCTGAGCAGGGGGGCAGATGCCGCCCCTTCCCAAGCCCCTCAGCCCCCAGGGGAGTGTGGTGCATTGGGGGCCCGAGTGTCATGTGTTTACACTTTCCTTCTCTACCCACCTCTCAGCGTTGCCTTTCTTCTCTTAGGGTTTGTTCTCATGTTTTGCCCCATGTTCAGTTTGTCTCCAAACATTGTCACGGTCTTTCTTGCCCATTTGGAGGATTGTCTTGGTGTCACTCAAGCAGCCAGTCCCAGAACCTGGTCTGTGCAGAGCCTGCGGGGGCCTGAGTGCTGACCGGCCTCAATGGCACTGCCTCTGCGGGCCCGTTATATGTTGACCTGGGCTGGTTTTCTTTGTTTGAGACAGAGTCTTGCTCTGTCACACAGGCTGGAGTGCAGTGGCGCGATTTCAGCTCGATAAAATCTCTGCCTCCCTGGTTCAAGCAATTTTTGTGCCTCAGCCACCCAAGTAGCTGGGACTACAAGCGCGCCCCACAATGCCTGGCTAATTTTTGTATTTTTAGTAGAGATGGGGTTTCGCCATGTTGGCCAGGCTGGTCTCTAACTTCTGACCTCAGGTGATCCGCCCACCTGGGCCTCCCAAAGTGCTGGGATTATAGGTGCCCAGCCCCTGGGGTGTTTTTAAGTGGAGAGTTGGTACCCTGTTCTGAGGCCCTTGGGGTCCTCGCTGTGGGGGCTGTTGACCCCTGAGCCTCTCTGGTGTTTTGTTTACTAAGGCCGTCATCGGATCACACAGCAGAGCAACAAATAGACCTTTTAGAACTTGAGACACCATCTTCTCTGAGGGCTCTTCTGGTGATGAGATGGGTTGACCTGCTGTGTTGGCGGTGGGGTTGAGGGGCTGCCCATCTGCTGAATGTGGCTTTGGTTGCAGTGGCTGGACCTGCACCTGCATCAGGAAATCCCCACATCACTGCTCATCCTGTCCCGGGCCATGTACCTCCCGGACACCCTCTCTCCAGCCGACCAGCTCAAGTCCACACTGCAGACCCTCCCAGAGATTGTGGTACGTGCTGTCGGAGACCCCTTTTACCTCATCTCTTCATAGCTGGCCCCGCTCTTCTGGGGTGGCTTTTCTGTGGTTGGGGGAGGCGTGCAAGAGCGCTCATTCCTCAACCATGGGCAAGGAGCCCCCCACCCACACAACCTCCCCTCTACCCCCTTGCTATTGCCCCCACCCAGCCACCTGTCCCCTTCCTTCCAACCCTCTTCACCGGCCCCTAGCCTGCCATCCCCCGTGTGGTCCTGACCTGGCCACATGTTGGCTGCTGTGGATCCGTGCTACGGCCCTTGGAACTGTGTCAGCAGCACCTGTGCTCCTTCCCTGCACGTCAGGAGTCACCGGGCGAGCACAAAGGGTGGCCCAGAGGACTCCCAGCAATTGCAGGCGGCACCTCGGCAGTGCCTTCTGTCCTGTGTGTGAAGCCTAGCTGGTGACAGAGGCAGAGGACAGAGGTTAGGGGCAGCAGGGGCCTCTGGCAGTTTCTGGGGCTCACTCACAGGTGCACCCTCTTCTGAAGGCAAAGGAAGCGCAGGTGAAAGCAGCCGAGGTGGAGGGCGAGCAGGTGGACAACAAGGCCAAGCTGGAGGCCACGCTGCAAGAGGAGGCGGCCATCCAGCAGGAGCACCGCGAGAAGGAGCTGCAGAAGCTCTCGGAGGCGGCGGTAAGTGGTGGCCCTGCTCCATGGGGCATGAGGCTGTCCTGACCTAGCCTCCCTAGAAACCCCACAAGCCCACAGTCTTGGCCTCCCGCGTGCTTGGCCCCCCACGTGCGTGGCCCTATAGCTCTGTCCTGCATTTTTATTTCCCCCTGGAGTGGTCAGGGAGACAGGGTGCCCGGGTGTGGTGGCTGCAACTCTGACTTTGGGACTCCCTCATGGCCACGGTGGTGCTCATGGGAGATGTACCTTAGCCGTCTCAGAGGGGCAAGCTTAGCACACAGCAGTGCCCACTCTCTCCTCAGGGACTTGCTGTGAGGGGCGCTGGCAGAGGAGCCTCAGACTCCCCCAGGCTCTGGGCTCCTCTTCAACGCAGGCCCTGTGGTCCTCTTGGGTCACATGCATGGTGCCCACCCACAGGCTCAGCCTCCTTCTCTGCAAGTGACAGGACAGCTTGGTGGAGTCATGGGGAGACCAGAGATGGGTGAGGTGCTCTAGCCTGTTCCAGAGAGGGCCCCAGGTGACCTGGCAGCTGCATGGAGCCTCCCTAGGGACCTCCTGTGGCAGGTGTGCTGCCCGCTGTCACCGGCAGGCCTGCTCCCAATGTGGCCTCTGCCATCCATTCTGGGCATCGGGGATTGAGAAGTCTGCTTCTGTGTGACGGCGGGCGCCGGGCCGGTGTCGCCTTGCCTTTCAGAAGGATGTTGAGCCCGAACGTGTGGTAGCCGTTCCCCAAAGGCTAGGGGCTGAGCTGCAGCCAGAAGTGTCTGACACAGTCCTGCGGTCAGAGACCCTGAAGGACACTGCCCCGGTGCTGGGGGGCTTGAAGGTAACGAGGCAGGTTCTGGGGCACTGGAGGCTGAGGAGGGCGTGGCCTGGCTTTGTGGACAGTTGTGGGGCAGGGATGGGGACAGGTTAGCTGGGGCACCTGTAGCCCTCAGTGAGAGGAGATGGTGCAAGGGGTTGAGGATGAGGCCAGTGGGCCCCTGGGAGGCTTGGTGGTTGGGAAGAGAGTGAGTCCGGCTGGGCTCTGCACTGTGCCTGGGTGCACGACAGCTGAGGCTGCCAGGAACTTGGCACCCTGGCCCACAGTGTGGCAGGTAGAGATGCCAGTCAGCAGGTTTCAGGGCCCTTTGTCAGCTTGCCCAGACAATGGAGGGCAATGTGGCCCCTCAAGGTGAAGCCTCCTCCACAGGCCCAACCTGCTGTCACCTCCTGTGGGGTGATCTGGGCTTGCGGCATCTTCAGACTCCCTATGCCAGCCTGTGAGGTGCAACCTCCAGGCACCTGTGCTGCCTACATGGGATGCCTCCTGGTGCCTTCCATCTTAAACTCGCAGGCTGGAGGGCAGTGACGCCATCTCGGCTCACTGCAGCCTCTGCCTCCCAGTTTCAAGCAACTCTTCTGCCTCAGCCTTCCAAGTAACTGGGAGTACAGCCGTACACCACCAGACCTGGCTAATGTTTGTATTTTTAGGAGAGACGGGATTTCACCATGTTGGCCAGGCTGGTCTCAAACGCCTGACCTCAAGTGATCTTCCCGCCGCAGCCTCCCAAAATGCTAAGATTACAGGGGTGAGCCACCGTGCCCAGCCATAAAAAAAATTTTGGGGCCAGGCGCAGTGGCTCACACCTGTAATCCCAACACTTTGAGAGGCCGAGGTGGGCGGATCACGGGGTCAGGAGGCTTGAGGACCGCATCCTGGTAACATGGTGGAAACCTGTCTCTACTAAAAATACAAAAAATCAGCCAGACATGGTGGCATGCGCCTGTAGTCCCAAGACTACTCCAGGAAGGCTGACGGGCAGAGAACTGGCGTGAACCTGGGAGGTGGGAACTTGCAGTGTGAGCCAAGAGATAGTCGCCACTGCACTCCAGCCTGCAGCAACAGACATGATGAACTCTGTCTCAAAAAAAAAAAAAAAAATTAAACTTTTAGCAAATCAAATAGAACTATTATGTAAAAAGAATCATGTTACACTTGGGATTTTGTCCAAATAAATACGGAAATTGGCTTGAATTTTTTTTTGTTTTTTGAATAATGGGGATCTCACTCTCTTGGCCCATCTGCAGGAGTGCAGAGACGTAACTCCGGCTCACATGACAGCCTTGACTCTCCCAGGCTTCAAGTGATTCCCTACCCTCAGCCCCTGAATAGTTCTGAGGGCATTTATAGGTGTCCACACACCACACCTGGCTAATTTTGTATTTTTATTGAGAGAGGGGTTGTCAACATGTGGCCTGCTGGTCTCGAACTCCTGGCCTGCAGGCGATCCTCCCACCTCGGCCATCCCCTAAGTGCTGGAGTTTATAGGCTTGAGAGACCTGTCGGTCGTTGCCAAACATTTTTTAAATGTACATTTCCACATTAACAGACCTAATTGGCCCAGGCGCGATGGCTCAACCTGTAATCCCGCACTTTGGGGAGGCCGAGGCAGCGTGATCAGTGAGGTCAGGGAGATCCTGACCTCCTGGCTAACACGGTGGAAACCATTAATATCTCTACTAAGAAATATAAAAAATTAGCTGGTCGCGGTGGGGTGGGCGCCTGTATTCCAGATTGGAGGCTGAGAGAATGGCGTTGAACCCGGTGAGGCGGAGCTTGCAGGAGCGATGATCACCCACTGCACTCCAGGCCTGGGCAACAGGTGAGATCCGCTCAAAAAAAAAAAACAACCAACTAAATTAGAAAAGCCGGGAATGTTTTATCTCAGTAGCTGCAGAAAGAGCATATGGCAGAACCCAGTATCCGTTCCTGATATGCAGATGTCCTGCACACGTGGGCAGCTTTCTCAGCCCAGTCAAAAGCATCCGCTGAAACACCTCTAGCTGCCATCACCCTCAGTGGTGAGACGCCGATGAGGGTGTCTGTCCTCAGCTCAGCATCAGCTGGTGTCTGAGCTCAGCATCAGCCTGGGGGTTTCAGTCAGGGCAGTTGGATACAGAAAACAAAACCATATAGATCAGAAAGGAAAAAGGAAAACTCTTTATTTACAAATGGTGTGAACATCAATTGTGCTTCACTATGGTAATGAGTAGTCAGAGAAGGTTTGAACGGTATGGCACCCCCCGAAATGAACTACTTAGGGATAAATTTGGAAAAAGATATGCAAATGCTGTCCACGAAGTGCTTGCTGTAAAGTGTTGCTGAGGGAAAGAAAAACCCAACAGAGGGGCTGGGTGCGGGGCCCACACCTGTGATACCAGCACTGTGGGGGGCCGAGGTGGGAGGATCATCTGAGCCCAGGAGTTTGAGACCAGCCTGGGCAACATAGTGAGACCCCGTCTTTACAAAACATTAAAAGTTGGCCAGACATGTCAATGTGTGCCCGTAGTCCCAGCTCCTGGGGTGGCTGAGGCAGGAGACTGCTTGAGCTTGGGCGATCAAGGCTGCAGCAAGCCATGATTGCACCACTGCACTCCAGCCTGGGCAACAGAGACCCTGTCTCAAAAAACAACAAGAAACACACGACCACAGGAGCACATCTCAGAATAAGTGAGGGAGAGAAGCCAGACAAAAAAAGAGCGTGCACTGGCTGATCCGTCTATTTCAGATGCTAGAAAACGCACCCAAGTCTGCCATGGCAGGAGGTGGACCTGAGGTTGCCGGGGGTGGGCGGCGGGTCCCAGTGGGGACATGAAGATGCATTTGGAGGTGACTCTGACTGTAGTGAAGGTTTCACAGTACATGTGTCAATTCATAGATGACGCGCTTTAAACAAATGCGGTTCGGCATATGAGGGCAGACAGTGACTGCATGCATGCAGCCAGCATAGCACTGAACCTGAACCCTGCTGGTCTCTTGTTACCAATGAGTGTCCAGTGAGACTCTTGCCCTGGGCTGTCCATATAATATGAACAGAGCAGCCGGTCACTTGGGAACAGGCTAGTTCTTTCCCTTGGCTCAGGCTTTTTTATTTGACCATTTTTATCTCAGGAGGAACAGATCACTAAGGAGGAAATTGACATCCTCAGCGATGCCTGCTCTAAGCTGCAGGAACAGAAGAAGTCACTCACCAAGGAGAAGGAGGAGCTGGAGCTGCTGAAGGAGGACATGCAGGACTACAGCGAGGTGGGTGGGATTTGCTCCCTGGACTCTGAGACTGCAAGAAGAGTAAAATCGCTGTACTGGCCCCAAAAGTATTACATAATACTTCCGTCAGATACTCAATAAGCTGGCCAGAGAGTATTTGGAGAGGAAAGCAAATTATAAATAAACCTTATACAGTAACTTTTCCATAGCCATTCTGGCTGGACCAATCTTCTAGAATGTGGCTGTGTGCCATTCTGGCCACAGATGCATGTGCACTTTTTTTTTTTTGAGAAAGGTCTTGCTCTGTTGCTCAGACTGAGTGCAGTGGCCACAAATTTCAGCTGCACTGCAGAACTCCCCGGTCCGTTCAGCAGTTTCTGTGCCTCAGCCTCCCGAGTAGATGAGACGACAGGCATGTGTGCCACATGCCCAGCTGCAATTTTGTATTTTTAGTAGAGCCAGATTGCACCATGTTGAGCCGAGGCTCATCCGAATCCCTGGGGCCCCTCAAAGTGGATCACCCTGGCATCGCCTCCAAAGTTGCTGGGATTACAAGGTGTGAGCGGCCGGGCCTGGCACATCGTTTAGTCCTAAAACATGGAAGGTGTCTCAGGAAAGAGTTTGGTCACTTGATGAT